GTGCAGATTTCGTGGCAGGTGCAGTACTTTGTGGACCTTGAAGTGCAGATTTCGTGGCAGGTGCAGTACTTTGTGGCTGTTGAACTGCAGAAAGATAGAAAAATAGAAAGATAAATTGATAGATAGATTAGATTAGATTAGATTAGATAAGATTAGATTAGATAAGATAAGATAGATAGATAGATAGATAGATAGATAGATATTTGCTTGGTTAGAAAGTTTTGCACCGGGGAGTTCACCTTAAAATATTGATTTCGTGGCAGGCGCGGGTGTCGGGGATGAAGTGCAGATTTCGTGGCGCGGGGAGGGTTGGGGGGGGGCGCAGCGCCCCCCCCAGCAGCACACCAGATCCAAAGGTGAGCAGCTCGTGCTTGCTTGCTTGCTTGCTTCCTTGTTTGGTTTCGTCTCTGCAACGAAAACAACAGGAAAATGCAAATACAAAAGAGAAAGGAGAACAGCTGCCAAAAGAAAGAAAGATAGATAGATAGATAAATAGATAGGTATAGACAGATAGATGGATAGGCCAAAAAGCCAAAAGCCACAAAAGCCAAAAGCCACAGAAGCCACGAAAGCCACGAAAGCCAAAAGCCACAAAAGCCAGAAGCCACAGAAGCCAAAAGCCACAAAAGCCAGAAGCCACAGAAACCAGAAGCCAGAAGCCACGAAAAACAAAAAAAATCAAAAAAGAAACAAACAAAATCCAAAAATAAATACCCCTCCCTAGGAGAGTGTACCTCCCCAGGAGCTCCCTCCTAGTAGGGAGCTATTTCCACTGGTGAACCGTTTTTCGAGTAGGGCTACTCAATGACTGGACGGCGACCTTATCGTTGGGTACCGACTTTCTTCCCAGGGAGCTGCCTCTAGTAGAAAGCAATCAAGCCTCTATTTGCGCAAGCAGGGGACCAGGAGATCGACAGACGAGCGCCGTAGGAGAGCAAAAGACCAGCGGACCAGGAGACAGAAGGACTAGGATACCAGGGGACCAGCGGACCACAGGACCAGAGGACCAGGAGACCGGAGGACTAGGGGACCAGTGGACTAAAGGACCAAGGGACCAGGGGACCAAAGGACCAGTGGACCAGAGGACCAAGGGACCAAGGGAACACATTACCAGAGGACCCGCAGACCACAAGGCCAGGAGAGCAGCAAAAGAGGCCTATCAAGGAATATTTATTTTTTGATTCGCTTTTTTTTTGATCCTGTTTTTATTTTCTTTTGATGCTCTTTTTATTTTTTTTTGATACCTATGCCCACAAAGCGTCCGCGAACTTGCCACGCCTGCAAGCCCTCCGCTGCACCCAGAATGGCTTGGTAGACCTGGCCATCAAGGTGTCACTGCACACATCCTGATGTCAAAAATAGGACACCTGACCTCTCGTGTTGGTCTCACATTGGTGCCAAAGGAGATGTAGACCTTCAGCCACTTTTGAAGTTGACGAAGGTTGACACAGGATTCAAAAGGTAAAGAGAAGTAAGACTAAGGAAGAAAGGAAGAAATACCTGCTATGTGTATACAAAATTATGTATATATACGGTACGTACGTCTATAAAGAACATACTGAAAAATCAGTATCTTTTGGATCTTACTGAGCATCCCACAACCTTGCCACTTGCCAGCCAATCAGCCACCGGCCTCACTTGGTTCTATTTTTGGGGGTGAGCAGTGAACAGCCAAGCTGCGCTCGCCCATTTCTTCAACAAGCAATGTTTTGTGAATGTAACATAAATGCCTACTTGAGTATGTCTGGATTTTTGTGTCTGGATTTCACTGTCTCTACATAACAACTGGTTGGCTTTCAAGCCTTCCGAAGTCGCCTGCATCTGTGATGTTCCTAAGGCTGACCAGGGCCCACACTTTGGAAGCTCTCCAGCTTCCTTGACTTTGCCAGGGTAATCTTCCACTGGCCCCACCTTTGTATGGCGATGAGGCCAGCGGAAGGCGATCCGCAACGATCCTTTTCGTTTCGTTTCTTGGAATGCGACCAAAACAGCACGTGGTGGAAGTGGCCGCGGGCGATCAATGCCTTGGAATTCACATCCCTGTGTTGGTCTCATGCAAGACCTAACGTCAACACTGGCCGCTTCGCGACCGTAGCCGACCCTGGGCACCGGGGCCCCAATGGGAGAGAATGCAAAGCAAAGGTCGGCCTCTTGGTCTCACAGAAAGCACAATGCCAAGCATGCATTGTAAGTTCACCACGAATCGCTAGTAGGTTGGCTCGTGGGTTGGAGGCCATCGCTATTAGGTTGGAGGCCATTGCTATTAGGTTGGAAACCATCGCTGGTAGTTTGGAGGCCATCGCTATTGGGTTAGAGGCCATCGCTAGTAGGTTGGAGGCCATCGCTAGTAGCTTGGAAGCCATCGCTATTATGTTGGAGGCCATCGGTAGTAGGTTGGAGGCCATCCCTAGTAGGTTGGAGACCGTCGCTATTAGGTTGGAGGCCGTCGCCAGTAGCTTGGAGCCATCGCTATTAGGTTGAAGGCCATCGCTAGTAGCTTGGAGGCCATCGCTATTAGGTTGGAGGCCATCGCTAGTAGCTTGGAGGCCATCGCTATTGGGTTGGA